GATTTTGTTATCTTCTCTCTCTTCATTATTTTTTCAAAAGATTATTTTTCTAAAGAGTTTCAAAAACTACTGTCTCATCGCTATCGTCGCCATCGATCACTTTTATTAATCACTGTCGTTTTTGCCGGCTACCGTTATTATCACCATCATTTACCAACTATCTTCAACATTGAATAAATAATTTTATGTTAAGAATTTTATTTTTCTATTAATTATGTTAAACCAAATTTTTTGACAATAAAATATTTATAATTCTTAAATTACAGAAGATAATCTATATTTTAAATAGAACTCAAAGATGTATTTTTATTTTACCCCTAAAATAAAGTTTCTTTATCTATGTCATGTTTGTATTATTATTATTATTTTTTTTTATAGATATTTTTCTCAAAAAATGAACTATATAAAATAAATATGAAATGTTTTTTGAGAATTTTTCAGACACAACTACGTAAAATAAACATGAAATATTGATTGTTTTTTCACGTTGGATCAAATCAAAATTGCAATATAAAAACAAAGTGTTCGTAGTTTGCAATAATGGTGATAACGATGAAGAACAATCACAGCACATCCATGTTAACAGTAATGATAGAGGCCCCATAAAATACAATTTTCACAACTCTCAAAATAATTTAAACTATTCATGTCACTGTCAAAGATAGAAAAAAAAAAAATTTTTAAGCACATCGATGATCAATACATCAATAGATGTCGTGATAGTCCTCTTTGGGGGTCAAACATTTTCCTTATTAGTATTTGTCAGAAGCTCTAGTCAGTAGTAGTTTTGACAAAGTGTTTAGGAACTGGTTAATAAGTTTGTTTCTATTTAGTCTATAAGGGCTTGTTTTGCAGTGCTGTGTAGTGCCTATTTTTATGCTATTATCCGTTATGTATGAGCCTATACAAAAGTAGGTATATCTGATGAATAAAGATAGGTACCAGGTCCTTTCTCTTGCCTTCTTTCGTCCTTAAGTTTTAGCTTTTTCTTTATCTTCTCTATTTGTATCAATCCAAACAATTCTACTACTTACACATACAAAAAAGAAAAGAAAAGAAAAGAAAAAATCTTATGTTCCATGTTTCTAAGTTTTTGGGATATATATGTACAATGAATTCAAAGAATTAATTTTGTAGGAGAAAGTTTAAGAAGAGTACAAAACAAAAAAATTACTAGTAAAACAAAAAAATAAAGAACATTATTTAACAATCAAAGTTCAAACAACAAACACAAAACACAAAACATAGAATGTATCACTTGCATTGCACATCTTGGAGCTCCTTCGACTTGATATTGACGTTCATGGTGCAACTCATTTAGGTACACTTCTTGTTCTTCATTTTCAACATTACCGCCACCTTTCCACTTAGTTTAGATTGACTGTTCAGAGGCAACAACCTGGAACTTATATCACTTGCCAATTGTGGATCCCTTACTAGATTGGGTGGTGCGATCAGGTTCACTGCAACATTGAACTTTTTAGTTGTTAGGAGACTGGCTTTCGATATGGGAATAATATAGCAGTCCCAACTAGTGTTTCCCCATAGTAAACGGTGGTGCTGCCAAGTTTAAGATAAACTATCAATAGGTCTTAATAGTTGAACTTAATTCTCATCAAGTTCTATTATAAATAAGTTCTAGTAAAATCGTTACTAAAAATAATTTTTTTGGGACAATTTTTTTTTGCATATGTTGTTAAAAATTAACAATTAGTGATTTTTTGGTCACAAATTTTATAAATTGTCGCTAAAACTTTCAATTAGTGACTTTTTTCTGTGACGAATTTTTTAAAATATTGCTAAAAGTTGAAAATTAATAATGCTTTTTTGTGATGACTTTTTTAAATTGTCACTAAAATTTATAATTATGGTGACATTTTTAATAGTATTTGATGAAAAATGTGGGGCAAGAAGTCCACCTAAATGAAGAGATTGTGACATTAAAGGTTTGAAATGTGGCAGACGTAACCTGGAACTTGGGAGTTTTTACTTTCATTTTTGTTAGACCAAGCACAATTCTAATAACCACTACAAGAATATGTACTTTTAATGATAACTTTCCGTGATCAATATAAAAGTTGGTAGTTAAAAGTTACCTTTTGGCGACCAAATATTAATTAGTATCGAATGATCATTATTTTTTGCGACCAAATATGAGTTGGTCGCAGAAGGTCATATTTTGGCGACCAAGAAATGAGTTGGTCACAGAAAGTGGTATGGTTTTGGCGACCAACTACAAATTTAGTCGTGGAAGGTTACATTTTGGCGACCAAAAAATAAGTTGGTCGCGGAAGATCAAAAATAAGTTGGTTGTAGAATTGGCGACCAAAAAATATTTTATTCACCGTATATTGAGTTTCAGCTACTAAAACTATTTACTCGCCAAATGGAAAATAAAAAATTATTTTTTATCTTTTGGCGATCAAAATTTTGATCGCTAAAAAACTTATTTTTAGCGACAAAATATTTTAGTCGCCGTATATTGAGTTTCGGCTACTAAAACTATTTAGTCGCCGAATGAAAAATAGAAAATTATTTTTTATCTTTTGGCGACCAAAATTTTGGTCGCAAAAAAACTTATTTTTAGCGACTAAAAATATTTTAGTTGCCGTATATTGAGTTTCGGCTACTAAAACTATTTAGTCGCCGAATAGAAAATAAAAAATTATTTTTTATCTTTGGCGACCAAAAGTTTTTTTTATCTTTCTCTCTCTCACTCATCACTTTTTTCTGTCTGTTTGTTTGTCTCTCTCTCTCTCTCTCTCTTTCTCTCTATGTCTCTCGCCTATCTCTCTTCACTCTATCTCTCTCATCTCTTTTCTCTCTCTTCTCTTTATCTCTCTCGCTCATCTTTCTCTGTCTCTCTCTCGTTTATCTCTTTTCGCTCTCTTTCTCTATCTCTTTTTATTTATCTCTCGCTCATCTTTTGTTTCTCTCTTTTTTTGTCTCTCTCTCTCTATCTCTCTCTCATTCATCAATCTTTTATCTTCCTTTCTCTCTCTGTCTACCTGTCTGTTTGTTTGTCTGTCTGTCTCTCTCCCACACTGTGTTCGCCTTGCTTACTTTCTCCCTCCCCTCTTCTCTATTTGCCGATCTCCCTCTCGATTTATTGATCCACTACGAGAAAATGCACTTTTAGCGACCACTTTGTCTCTCTCGTTCATCACTCTGTCTCTGTATCTCTATCTCTCTTTTCTATATGTTTTTCACTCATCTCTCTCTCTCACCACCCATCTCCTCTACCACCTTCACAACTACTGCAAATGTCATTCCACTCCACTTCTACAACTACCATTATTACCACCATCGCCACCACTCCACTACCACCACCACCACTACTACTACTGCCACTACTACCACCATTACCTCTCCTTCACCACCGCCACTCTATCTCCTCTACCTCTACCACTACCACAACTTCACCACTAATTTCCTTCACCACCACTACCATCATCACCTCTTATCTACCACCTTCATTATTACTGCCGCTCCCTCTTTTCCACCATAGCAAATTAGTTTATGATTATTGGTAATAAAAAAAAAATGGACCGCCGAAAAATGTTTTTAATTGACCACCAAAAATTAACTTTATTTTAATGGAAAATATTTTTCATTAAAATATTACCCCAATTTCTACCAAATGAAAATAATAATAATTTTTTTCATTAAAATAAAAAAAACTTATTTTTAGCGACAAAAAATATTTTAGTCGCCGTATATTGAGTTTTGGCTACTAAAACAATGTAGTAGCCGAATGGAAAATAAAAAAATTATTTTTTATCTTTGGCGACCAAAAGTTTTTTTTATCTTTCTCTCTCTCACTCATCACTTTTCTCTGTCTGTTTGTTTCTCTCTCTCTCTCTCTCTCTCTCTCTCTATGTCTCTCGCCTATCTCTCTTCACTCTATCTCTCTCATCTCTCTTCTCTCTCTGTCTCCTTCTCTCTCTCTCTCTCGCTCATCTCTCTTCTCTTTATCTCTCTCGCTCTCTCGCTTATCTTTCTCTGTCTATCTCTCGTTTATCTCTTTTCGCTCTCTTTCTCTATCTCTTTTTATTTATCTCTCGCTCATCTTTTGTTTCTCTCTTTTTTTTTGTCTCTCTCTCTATCTCTCTCTCATTCATCACTCTTTTATCTTTCTTTCTCTCTCTGTCTGCCTGTCTGTTTGTTTGTCTGTCTGTCTGTCTCCCACACTGTGTTCGCCTTGCTTACTTTCTCCCTCCCCTTTTCTCTATTTGCCGATCTCCCTCTCGATTTATTGATCCACTATGAGAAAATGCACTTTTAGCGACCACTTTGTCTCTCTCGCTCATCACTCTGTCTCTGTATCTCTATCTCTCTTTTCTATATGTTTTTCACTCATCTCTCTCTCTCACCACCCATCTCCTCTACCACCTTCACAACTACTGCAAATGTCATTCCACTCCACTTCTACAACTACCATTATTACCACCATCGCCACCACTCCACTACCACCACCACCACTACTACTACTGCCACTACTACCACCATTACCTCTCCTTCACCACCGCCACTCTATCTCCTCTACCTCTACCACTACCACAACTTCACCACTAATTTCCTTCACCACCACTACCATCATCACCTCTTATCTACCACCTTCATTATTACTGCCGCTCCCTCTTTTCCACCATAGCAAATTAGTTTATGATTATTGGTAATAAAAAAAAAATGGACCGCCGAAAAATGTTTTTAATTGACCACCAAAAATTAACTTTATTTTAATGGAAAATATTTTTCATTAAAATATTACCCCAATTTTTACCAAATGAAAATAATAATAATTTTTTTCATTAAAATAAAAATAAAACAAATAAATTTTCAACCTTAGTAACTATAAAAAAAAAAAAAAAAAATCATTAACTACAAAAAAATATTATTTTAACAATTAAAAAACACGTCATTTACACCGCCTCTCCTCTTTTTCTTCTTCTTTTCTTTTTTGTTTCCCCCTCTTTCCATCCAAATTCCCCACTTCCTCCCCCTCCTTTGTTTCTCACTGACTCAAATCTCCAATCCCTAATCCCTTAAACAAAAAAATCCCCAATTTCAAAAATCTCCAAAATACTGTACCATCTCTCTCTCTCTCTCTCTCTCTCCTTCCCTCCCTCTCTCTCTCTCTCTCACTTTCACGTCTGCAAGCAGTGACAGTACTGGCAGCAGCAGCAAGGGGGGACGATGGCGAGCAGCGAGCGACGACTGTGAGCAGCGAGTGACGACAGCTAGCAGCGGTGGTGCGGTGTCTCAGATACCTTTGCCGATTCAACCCATCCTTCCGATTGAGCTATTACGGTTTTGCCCCAAAACGAAAACCCGGCAACGCCGACTGAGGTAAACCTCTCTCTCTCTTTCTCTCTCTCTCTCTCTCTCTCTCTCTCACACACACACACACACACACACACACACATTTTAGCCCAACATATATATATATATATATATTCACATAAGTAATTGAGGCTTAGTTATGAACATTTGTGTTAATGTAGAGCCTAGAAAGCTTGAAAAAATTGCATAATAGTAGATGAAGATTCAATTTTTATTTTTTTGTTTGTTGATTGACTTTGTACTCTCTTTTTTCCCCAGAATTTTTATTGCTTTTGGTGATGGAGCATGGGTCGTTCCAGGACCAAACAACATTGACATTATTTTTGGCTGATGAGGATCATACACTAGCAAATTCAGTCAGATTCACTCTCAATCAAAAGTTAATTAGTTCTCTTCTAATTCTTTGATGTTATAAATTGCGTATGTTGTTTCCAAAATCATTTGTGCACACCATGCTAGCTCTGATTTTTGTGATTGCCCTAGTTTATATGCTCTATTTCAAAAACAGTTTTTTGTATTTGAACTGTTGTATGTGATCTTCATGCTATAATCATATGCTTTTCAAGCTCAGTTTCATTGTGTGCCTCCTATATGGATAGTTTAAAGGGCCTTTCATAGCTTTTATTTCTTCAGTAACAATTTCATTTTTTTTTTGTTCCTACTTAGTTTGACAGGATGAAACCATAACCATCTTATTTCTTTGACTGTCCTTTAGATCTTCTGTTCACTTTGAGCTTAACAATATCAATGTAGATCCTGATTATTATTGTACATCTCATAATCTGATCAAATTTGATTACTTTTGTATTGCGGATTCAAAGTTATTGTGACAATTTATTAATGTAAACTTAGAATATCTGAATCTGAAGTTATTACAATAATCTAGTTCTTTTGTTTGTGATTGACTCTGTGTGATTTATTTAGCTACAAAATTATTCTACTGCTGAACATCTCACAATCTTGTCAAGTTCAATTAATTCTATATCACCAGATTCAAAGTTATTACAGTAATTTGTTGATGTAAACGTAGTATAAATGAAGTTATTATGATAATTGCATTTTTTTTTTGGTTTGTGATTGATTCTATGTGGTTTATTTGGTAACAAAATTATTGTACCCTGTACATCTCAACCTGATCGAGCTTAATTAAGATTCAAAGTTATTACGGTAATCTAGCTTTTTTGTCTGTGATTGATTTTGTGTGATTTATTTGGAAACAAAATTATCCTATGACTGTACATCTCACAATGTGATCGGGCTTGATTACTTTGGTATTGCAGATTCAAAGTTGTTATGATAATATGTTGATGTAAACTTGGTATATTTGAAATTATTATAGTGATTTATTTTTCTTGTTTGTGATTAATTATATGCAATTTATTTGACAACAAAACTATCCTACTATTGTACATCTCACAACCTAATCGAGCTTGATTACTTATGTATCACAAATTCAAAGTTAATATTGTAATCTATTGATGTAAACTTAGTATATCTGAAGTTATTACATTAATCTAGATTTTTTGTTTGTGATTGATTTTGTGTGATTTATTTGGCAACAAAATTATCCTACCATAAAGTAGTGATTACTTGTTTATTTTAGAATTGATTTCAAAGTAAATTTTAAACTTCTTAGTAGTTTTCCTTTTGTTTTTCAATGATAAGCTTGCATTGTTATTAATGTCATGGTAACAATTATTCTTCTAAGAGTAGAAATTATCAAGTAAGTCTGCAGTACCACGTGGCAGCAAGTCTGGAATGTCATATGACCGTATGCCTTTCTAGCCCATCTAATAGTATTTTGTGATTTATCCACTATATCTTTTATATTTTGGACCTTACTATTGGTGGACACAAAATCAACAAGTATTCTTGGAAGATAGAATAATTACTCGTGATAGAGAGTGTTTTTGTTTTACCAATTAATATTGGTAGAGGGACCTCTTAGCAAAACTAATTAGTGCATAGGTTTCTTATTAACCTTAGAAAACTGTGTTCCTTAGTCATATAGAAAGAAACCATAATCACCATACCATCACATAAGAAGACCCTACCTTGAGAGACAAAGGAGAGGCTATGGAGGGCTCTGTCACACATCAAGATTCACTTTCTAGGAAAGCTCTAAGCTCATGTATTTATGTTTCATGCATGAAATCATGAATAGGGTTAACCTTGGGTTATTGTTTTCTTTCATTGATGAGCAATTGGTAATTGTTGACTTACTAGTTTCTCTAGTTCATAAACCTTGTGTTTCATAGATAATGAGAATTACGTGACCTAAAACCAATGGCGGTAAATTAATATTGACACAAACTATTTTTTACGAGGGAAATCTTTAACATTTTTGAGATTCACCCTCTACAATAAGGGGAAAAAAAGAAGCCAAAATAAGTGACTTCATCAAGGTATAAAGGCTCCAAAAACAGCCCGTGGACTCTTTAACATTTTTGGTGCGTGTGTTTGTGTCTGAACCCTAGTGGATTATAGGTGAATGCTGTAGAACCCTTCAAACTTCTATTAAGCAAAGAAAGTTTGTTCTTTTCGGCTTTTCTTGTGTTGTGGAAAGCATTTTATGTTTAGTGAGTCTGATGTTTGTTTTTACCTAACTTTTTTGTGTTTTATGGGCAATTGATCCACATTTTGTTGGGTATTTTTTGTACCTGGCTTGTCTTTGATCCAAAATCGGCTGTGTTATTGTTTGAATGCAATCTAGTTCACTTACTTGGGAAAAAATATTCTTCTACTTGTGATGTCATATCTGCAAATTGTCTTCACTTTTGGACTGCCTATCAGTCACTTCAATGAACATATAATGTTAGACTAACCTTTGCAATTCATGTAGGCTTTGTAAGCAACATGTAATTAATACTTTTGAGAACATTTGAAGTGGAACTTTGCTTAGATTAAGGGTAAAATTGAATTTTCTTTGAGGATATAGAACGGTTTCTGTGCGGTTTGATTGATTTTTGTTGTTAATTATTATTAATACTCATATTTGTGGTAATTACCTCTTCTTGCTGCATGTAGTAAAATGTGTTTTTCATTAGTGGATTGGCAGTTTGACACTTCAAAGATTTTGAATTATGAATATTACGAATATTTCATAAGTTTGAATTTTCATATGCTTTCTCTGTAAATATGTAAGGAATTTGTGGACTGATTTAGTAAGTAATATAAGTAGAAATGAAGGTAAAATTCTCTTTCTTATTCTTCTTTTATTAATTGCATGACATTGTATTCATGTCAATGTTTGAGTCAAATATTGTTTGCATCTTTTGTTGAAGGAGATTTGTAAAAGTTTTTTTAGCCATGTGTTGGTATGAATATTATCACCACTAGTGAGAATATAGTTACAACATAAGTGGCCTTGGCTAAAGGGACTAAAGGTAAGTGCCATCTATGTTACAAAAGCAACAAATGGAGACCACTGACCACAAAAGGAAGTCCCCATTTCCCCCACCTCTTTTCTCTATGTATTTGTCTCTCTCATAATGTAATAGAGTTGTGGAAAATTCATGATCACTTGTGAACATTTGATGAGAGTATTTCTATATATGTTTTTTTAAAGGGTGAAAAATATTTCAAGTCTTTTTTCCCCCCCAAAGGGCCTAATTGGTATCATTTTCATTCTTCAAGTTCTTGGAAACAAAAAAATAGTAGTGTTCGAAAACAATTAGGAAAACAGTTTCCCAAAATTGGAAAACAACTTGGTGGTTGTTTCCTAAAGAGTGGGTTGATTTCAAAAAGCAGTTGTCGGAAACAATTTGCCAAACAAATTGTGTGTTTCTAAAAAATGAAGACAAAAAATGAAAAATATACCAGTGATGCCCTTATGTGTCTTTATTGTATTTATTGTTTGTTTGAAATTTGCCTTTTTCTACTTTTCAGAAAGGAGACAGGCAGAAGCTGCTCGTATCAGGGAGAAGTATCCAGATAGAATTCCGGTATAAAAATTGCCTTTGTTCTCCTGGAAGTTTGTCTTTCTATAGGATGTTATGCATATAAATGTTCATTGAATTTTTTTATTTGTTTTTTCATACATAGGTAATTGTGGAGAAAGCTGAAAGGAGTGACAACCCTGACATTGATAAGAAGTTAGTGTAGTACTGCAATAATCATCCTCCATATGTTTAATTTGGATATTACGAAGATTACTCATTATACACTTTTTTTATGCATTACTTTCTCTCCTCTGCTGAATTATTTTCGGATCTGCAAGACTGCAAGATATGTGATTGTCTCACCTTGCAAGAAACATTTGAAATCATTTAAAGTAATAGAAGAATAAATATTGGTAAAGGATAAATGCAATGAAAAAAAAAGCCTCTGGCTTCCACCTATGCAAGAAGGAGATTGGAGTCCACGGGCTGTTTTTGGAGCCCTTATATCACCATTTTTGAAGTAAAGGTTGATTTTTTAATTGGATTCTTAACTCTATCTGCTTTTTGGGTTGTTGATTATACACCATTTGGTTTCCTAGAAAATCTAGTAAAGAGAAGGAAAATTTTGAATTTATTAGGTTTCGCATTACTTGAATTGGGAATATAAAACGCTTTACTCAACTTAGCGTAGTATAAGTAGATAGCATTAGTTAATTGAATTCTTAATTTTGTTGTTTGTTTGGATTATGGGAAAATCGAAGCATTAGTTACTATCCTCTCTCTATGTACTTCTTGGGTTTTTGATTATACTCCATTTGGTTGTTAATTATACTCCATTAATTACTCCTTTTATCAGTAGCCCATCTACACCAATACCAACCCAAACCAAGCATAGCAAGACAGACACCACAATAGTTTAGCACTCCACACTACAGCAGTTATAGGAAAAACTAAAAAACTACACTTTTCTGAATTAGCACTCCACACTACAGTTTAGCACTCCACACTTTTCTGCTAGTTGAGAAGTCCATTGCATATTATTTTGAACTGTTGTTTTATTTAATTATTTTTGACTTGTTCTACTTTGAATTACATTTAAGTTCATACAAAAAACTAAACAGTGAAATACCAAAGTGATAATGCTATAGACATAAGAAGGCTGTTGTTTTATTTACAATTTGATAATGATAGTCATTTAATTTGCTAATGTGACCTTAACTTTTCATGGACATTTTTCATTATTTGTCCAATTTTACCTGACATTATTTCTCTTTTTCTTTGGTACAGATGGATTAACTCATGTACAAAGCTAAATTGTACAGGACAAATTGGCACTTTTTGTATTTTTAGAAGGATTATATATTTTTGTATAGACGTATATGGAAAATATTAGGGTAGACTAGTAGTTATATTTTTGGATACACTAGTAGTTATATTTTTGGATGGGTGTGTATGGAAAATATTTGGTTGACTACTAGTTATATTTTTGGGTTGATGCACATGGATAAAAATTTAAAACATAATAATAAGTACTTATTATGTTTTAAATTTTTATGCTAGATGAAATATGTAGTTTGGAATTACTTGTGGATGAAAACTTATAATAGTTGCTGACTTTAATTAAACAGGTTCAAAAATGGTTGATATATGTATTTTGTTGAATGTTCATGATTCAATTTATTTGTTGGTTTGAATGATTTTTGCAAATTACAGATTATATTGAATAATTTGGATGGATTATTATAAATTACAGGTTTATTTTGTTGGATGTTGGCTTTTGTTTTTCTAGCTTTGGCGACCAATTTATTAGTTGGGAAAGATCAGTTATACTTTTGTTGACTAAATAAAGTAGTCGGTGTATCACTAATCACATTTGGCGACTAAATAATTAGTTGTTAAAATTATTAATTTTGGCAATCAAAGGATTTGGTCGTGAATAGGTCTATTGCCGACTAAAGTTTTAGTTGTGCAAATATTTCTTTTGGCGGCTAAACAATTTGGTTGTGGAATGTGACAATTGGCGACTAATTATTTTGGTCGTGGAATGTGACAATTGGCGGCCAAACTAAGAGGTCGTAGAATGTCACAATTGGCAACCAAAATTTTTGGTCATAGAATGTCGCAATTGGTGACCAAATTTTTTTGGTCGTGGAATGTCACAATTGGTGACCAAACTTTTTGGTCGTGGAATGTGACAATTGGCGACTAAGATATTTGGTCGGGAAACTATCACTTTTCGCGACCAAAGTGTTTTAGCGACAAAATGGATTAGTCACAGTAATGACATATTTAGCGACCAAAAATTTAGTCGGCAAATCTAACTTTTCCCTACCAACCAAAATTTTGGTCGCGAATTACTTTTGCCGACCCTCAACTGATGACCTGTAACGCCCTCAAAATAATAACATTAAACCCATCAAATAAGACATGCATTGATATGTAAAAGTTCCACATTCTTCCATTTATCAGAATTCCATTACATAAGTATTACATGTTAACAACAAAAGCAAAATGCCCTACGGGCTTACAGCTTTCCAAGTTAACACTTGGTTACAACAAAAGAGTACTAACTCATACACATTAAGCCCTTGGCTTGAATTTACATGTAATACATCAAAAAGTAAAACAACAAAAGTATGTCCGCCTCTAGCCTCCCAAGCTATGTCCTTGGAGGTGGCATGTTACCTGTACCTGAAAATGATATTCCCATATAGGGTGAGCCACAGCCCAGTAGAAATACACTAAACCAACCATGAACAATGACTAAAAGATTAGCAATTGATAGATGGCCAACACTGATACATTCACATAAATCACATATTTATGTCGTACGACTTATGAGCCCAAGTTACCTTTCATTTTCCCTTTTTCAACAGATAGGCATATAAGCTCTATCCACATTCTCAACAGATATGTATAACAACAATATCCACATTCACAGATAAGCATATAAGCTATATCCACATTCTACAACAGATATGTATAACAACAATATCCACATTCATAGATAAACATAAAAGCTATATCCACACTTCACAAAGATAAGCATATGAGCTCTATCTTCACTTCTCTAGACAAGCATATGAGCTGTATCTACGGAGTGTGAACGATTAGAGACACAATGAAGATTACAAAAAATGTCAAACACTTATGGCGTTTCTTGAGGCAAATCTTTTGGGCTTGTGAAGTTTGTGCCTCTTCATTGCTTCGGGCATGGCCATTAGTTGCTGGCGGATCATAGGCCAGCTGCTTCGTCTCTACCATTTGAAGGTATACTTTGATGAGAGAGATGTTGTGCCACAGGGCCTCATATATGAATATACAAAACAAAGATGCATAAAAATAATAAAATAAATTGTAATTCATTCAAACGAATTCAAAATAAATACAAAAAGTTCACAAACAATTATAAAGGGGAAGTAATTCCTCCTAACTCACAATCACTCTCAAATTCAAATATTTTTTATATCTAATACAACACATTAGTTTCCTATTTGTAGGTTTCTGAGGAAGATGAGAGATGGAAGCGGTGACGCCAAAATTATCGTGTTTCGGACATATTCGGAAAGCTTCATGGTGGCCTACTGTTGACCAACTAAGAACTTTAATTCAAAACCATCATTTTCAGTAGCTTCTGTATCATCTAGGAGCCTCAAGAACAATCTGGAGGAGAATAAGAGAAGTTGAATCCAAACTTCTTATGCTTCATGGAGAAGCAAAGCCAATTTTTCAACAATTCTCCACCATGACGAAAATTCTCCAATACATAAATTTGAACAAAACTTTACTTTAGCAAAATATCATAAACAAATAAATAACCAACCATGCAAGTGCTCCAAAGTAAACACACTCTAATACCTAAAATAAATTTTGCTATACCAAACAAAACAAACGAGCGCTCTACAAACAGATCAAAACGAAATAGCAAACTCAAAAACTCGAGACATGTCAAGCCAATCCAAACTGCAGAACAAAACAAATTAGTTCTTCTAATTTTCAACAACAAATCCAAATTCCAAACTCCATAATGATGTCAAATTCCAAAATTTCAAAAAACCAAAGTTTTACTAAGATCTGAAGCAAATTGCCACAAGATCTTCTTCAAATCTACAAATGTGAATTTTTTTCCAAGACCAACAAGTGGCCAAAGACCACACCAACAGCCTAAAATTCAGATTTAGAATAATCAGTATCATTCTGTGCTACATTGACTATGGAAACAACATTTCTTTTTCTTTCAAACTTGGACAATCTTTCTTCTAATGCCTTTTCTCATGATAATAGGCACATTCATCTTTCGCGGGATTAACTCTAATGCCTGCTGACTTCGAATGAGATCTACCTTTAACTGTCAAAGCATTACTAAATGTGTTATTGAAGTTCTTTTTATCTTTCTTCCTGTACTCATTGTTAATCAAACTACTAGACATATTTTTAAAAACAAATTTCATCCTTACCATATAACAGAGTAGTGATAAGATGATCATATGTGTCAGGAAGAGAATTTAGCAATAAAAGAGCTTTATCTTCGTCTTCAATATCTGTCACGACCCAAACCCTCCCCTTAAGGTTTAGCGATGTAACCGGCCAGTAATCCTAGGATTACCGAAGGCCTCTTAACAAAATAATAAAATATAAGGGGCTGTGGAAGCAAATATACAAAATACAAGGTCCATAGAGCTGTGAAGACATACATGAGACAAATAAATTTTAACTTATAAAATGTCAAACTTCCAAAAACTTATATCGCCATACATATAATGTCATAGGGGACTTAGCCCAATGCACAGATAAGCAAAATAACCAACAAAAACATCTTCATGAGGTTTACAGAACTTGACTTCTCAAAAGGGAACCTCTCCGGGGAGGCACAGTGGTTGGTTGACACAAAACATTCCAGGTAGCAACTTAGGCCTGGTCACGCGCCTGCTTACCTACATACATAATATAAATAGCGAGAGGAAACCTAGTGAATAATAACTAAGTAAGGGTTTAAATGAATGATGTCCATAAAAGATTTAGAAATCAGAGTTCATATCAAAACAGATGTGTATTCATATTCTTGTTCAAACTACATACAGAAATCAGAGTTCATGCTTGATCATACATGGTATATCCATTAGTGTTATTATGCTTGTTAGTTCCATAAGGAACCTCCGGTACCGGAAAACTTGTATCATGCTTGAGCCACAGTATTATTACCCCCGAGAAAGGGCTTTGAAACCACGGTATTGTTACCCCTAGGTAAGGGCCTTGTACTTGTAAACCATGATATTATTACCCCCGGGCAAGGGCCTTGTGCTAAGGATGCCACGTATACTTATCAAAAATTGGACATTCATTCATCGATACAGAACATAACATTTTAGAAAGTTGATTATTTCTTGTCATATCATATAAGAAAATACTTTAACATGAATATAACTTTACAAAGTTATTACTCACAGATGGCTGCACTGGCGGAATAGACAAATCAGATAACTTGTGACGCGTGACCTACATACACATAACAGAAACACATAATGAAACACACACTCGTTGGGTACATAACTTCTTTCGTCTCATTCTTAGTGTGTTTCTAGGTCTTAACCTCTTATTGTGTCGTAATTATGGCCTAGGAATGCCTAGGATGCAGTGTGGACGTCGAAAATGCACTTTGAAACTTTTAACAAAACTTGCTGAAAGCAGGGGTTTTGCTCGAGCGTAACTTCCTTCGCTTGAGCGGACATGCAAATATGTGAGGGGCCGTTCGAGTGCAATTTCCTTCGCTCTAGCGGTCTGCAAACTTTGAAAAAGTACTGGTTGTGTGATTTTTATGCTCGATGGACGCTCGAGCGTAAGACTCAGGTCCTCGCTCGAGCGTAATTCTTGTTGCTCGAGCGGTCTGCAAAAACATGAAACTTCTGGGAGCTCACATTTCACACTCGAGCAGTCACTCGAGCGGAAGTGTAAGATCACAGAGTGGTCGCTCGAGCGTAGTTTCAGTCGCTCGAGCGGAAGTGCAGAATCTGGAATTTCCAGATTGCACTCCTAAGCTCCAAACTCGAATTACACACTTCAAAACCCATCTTTTTGGGCCAAAACTCCAGAAAAACATTTCAAAACTTGTAAAATACCATGGTTTGAAGATCATTTCACTAAATCAAGGCCCAAAGGTATGCCAATTGATCAAAACTCCAACTTGAAATTTATGAGTATGCCATAAACATGACATGCATGAATTATTTAGAACATAGGCTTTCCAAAACATGGTCAATTAAGATCAAATGGTAAGAAATGTGATGACTTCTCAAAACCAAGTCAAGATAGACACATGCATGTGAAAATTATTTAGAATCAAAC